CCCCCACCCCCGCGCTCTGGGCTCAGCTTCTGGAGGCAGAGGTGCTCTGGGAGAGGTGGGCAAAGCACAGGCCAGCCGACATTTGCTGGAGACTGGGAGAGGCCAAAGGTCGGGGGGCTGGATGCTGTTGGAGGGGTGGGGCCCTTCCCAATGCCCCAGGAGGCTCCTGTCCCCCTCTCCGACCCCCAGCCACTGGGCAGGCGCTGCAGGATCCAGCCAGCTCCCGGCCTTGACCCAGGTCCCTCAGAGCCCCTCCTGGCCTCCAGTCCTGCCCTGCGGTTGGTGGTCCTGCAGCTGGAAGGGGCCTGAGGACCCGAGGCGAAGGCAGTTCTGAGACCTGCCGTGGCCTGGGAGCCAGCCGCCCATGCCTGCGGACCCATGGCTGGACGCCGGACGCTGCAGTGCTGGTGGATGCCCTGCACTAGGTGCTGGCGCTGGGCGGGGGTGGAGGGGGGTGGGGGGGTCGGGGGGAAAGACAGGCCCTGCAGTCACGAGTGGAGGCCGGCAGAGGGCGCCTGGCCTGGTGGCTGCAGACACACAAACACTAGCACACACGTGTCTGTCCACGTCCACGGGCTCACAGGCGCTCGGAACATGCGTGTGCATACTCACGCAGCCCACCAAGGCACCGCTCTCCACGCTTGCAAGCCAGGGGGTCCTGAGCGCTCTTGGCTAGACTCCGGGCAGCCCCCCACCCATGTGCCCACCCAGGACTCCCTGCACCTGGCAGGCGCTCCACGTCCAAGGACCGAGGCTGCACAGCCCACCTAGCAGCATCAGGGTTCAGCCAGGGCACAAGCTGCCCACGGTCACAGCTCAGAAGGGGCAGGACAGAGCCAGGCTGGCCCCTGCTGGGCAAGTCCCGTCAGCCTTCTGGAAGCGGCACAGCCGTCACGGCCCTCACTCTAGCGTGCAGGTGGGGACTCCGAGCAAAGGTCCCACTTCCCCCAGCCCCAGCAGTGGGGAGGTGGCCCCAGGAGTCCCAGCCGTGACTGCTTGAGAAGCCGGCCCTCAGTGCTGAGCAGAGCCTCCCCGGCCCCTTGCGGAGGAGGTGCAGAGGGCAGGACCCCCACTGCCCAGAAAGCCCCCCAGACGGTGCCCAAGAAGCCCTACTCCCCATCTTCCTGCCAGGACCGGCTCAGGGCGTGGAGTCCCAGGAGAGCCATCAGCATCTGGCGTGTCACAGGCCTGGGCCCGCTGGGCAGGGCCATCTGGCTGGGAGCGATGGTTGGACTGGGTAGCGCAGGTCACCTGCGAAAGCTCTGGAAAAAGAAGCTAAGCTGGGCAAGGGCTGCCTTTAGGTGTCTGCTGGTCAGTCGTGGTGTCTTGGCCAGGCGGTCTGGGGCAAACAGGTGACAGAGGCTGCCCAGGCCTCAGCTGGTGGATTGGCCTGGCCTCCTGGAGCTGGAATCTGGGGAGGACAGCACGCAGCGGCCAGGGGGCCGAGGGCAGGTTCACGGCTGACGGCTATGTTGTCCGGAGAGGCAGAGACCCCGTGTGTTCAGCACGACCGGGGCTCAGCTGAGAACAGGATCCAGGACCGCCCTACATGGCGCCCTGGCTGCCCGACCTGCCTCCCCACTCAGACCCGACTGCCTTCACCCCGGTGCCCCCCTGCCCAAAGCGCTGCTCTGGGACAGAACAGCACAGAACCACCCAGAAGACACAGCTCCAGCCCGGAGCCTCCAGTTGGCCCCACGTGGCGGCCACAGGTGCCCTTGGTCAGGCAGTTTCAGGATGACGCAGGCTGGCTGACCACCAGCTGGCAGCCCCAAGTCTACCCAGGGCCAGGGGAATGCCGGACTGTCCTTAAAGAACTGCCCTCCCAGGCAGCCATCCAACTGGGGACTTTTCTCCCCCGGATGAGGGTGCCGCGCAGATGCCCCCGTGTGTGGCAAGGGAGCTGGATTGGATGCTCAGGCCCTCACTGCCAACCCAGCCGGAAGGAGAGGACCTGGCACTGTCCTGGGCCCAGTGAACAGACCTGCAGAACAACAGGGGCGCCTGTCCTTTGCCCGTGAGGGGTCTCGGGCCACACACCTAGCGTTCTGATGTGATGCCTGAGAGCAGAACACATCTCAGACCAGTCAGCCTCAGGGCCATGCACATCAGCGTGGGGGGATCCCGGGCAGAGGGCAACGTACTCCAGCTGAACACGGCCTCCGGGTCAGGGCCTCCTGGACCAGAATTGACAGGAACAAAGTGCCCCCAAAGCCTTCAGGGCCGGGGCAGGATCCCAGATTCTCGATCCCAACAGGCTGGGGTTCCAGCGTGGAAATGTGTGTCAGGACAGACTGCACCCCCTTGTCCGGCCCGGTGCTATCTGAGGGCTGCCTGCAGTGCAGCCCACCAGCCCTGGTGAGGACCCACACCTCACACCTGGCCCTCCTGAGTGCCTCTGCTCTGCGACACTTGGTCCCGGGCTGGCAGACCATGTTTGACCCTGGCTCTCGGGCTGACCTGGGTCTTCTCATCACCCTAAGCCTGATCTCTGACCTCAGATGCGAGCGTGGCAGACTACTGGTTCAGTGACTGAGACCCTCAGGATCAGCTAAAGGCACAGGTGCTGGCCACTGGGCATCTTCCTTGGGGAGAAGTGTGGGTGGCAGGGCTGCCACTCCCCACTCATGGCCGTGCTGCAGCCCTGCCACATGATCCACTGCAATCTGGCTGTCCACACAGGGACGGCCCATCCCGCGGGGCAGGGAGCAGGGACGTTGCACACGAATCACATAGGAGGCCTGGGGGAAGCCCGGCTGAACGGCCTGAGGGCCGGCAGAAACAAGTGCGGGGACAGAGGACCAAGCACGGCGTCGTGTCACGTGGTCGTCAGCGCCAGCCCACAGGAACGGGGTGGCCAGCACACAGCCGTCCAAGTCGAGTGGGCTTGGGCGACAGTGAGATCCGAATCACAGTGCAAGGAGGCTGGAAGAGGAACCACGAGGAAGGCCAGGGTGCCAGGGCACCGCTGCACGACCCCTCTGAGCTGATGATGGGCTCTAGGGTGACGGCAAGGCCAGGAAGGCAGTGCTCAGGTCAGGCGGACGCAGGCCAGCACTGGTGCAGAGACGGACTGGGGAGCGGAGGGCAGGGGGCAGGTGGCGGCTCTCAAACGCCAGGCAGTTTCTTCCAGAGGAAGAAAAAACGAGAGCGACCGGGAAGTGAAAGTTGCTTCAAGGAGACAGGCCTCAGTCACGATCACTGGGCAGCTGCGTGCGCCGCTGGGGAGGGCGTTTATTACCGAGCGCACTGGGGGTGGTGGCTGGGTGTGCGTGGCCCCCGCAGCAGCAGGGAGCCCTTCCTGCAACAGCGCCCAGCCCGGGGCCCCAGGAGATCGGGGACAGGGAGGCACACGCCCCTGGGGTCCCGGCCGAGGCTGTCTTCCTGCGCGGCCGGCGCTTCCTGGGTGGAAAGGAAGGAGCGAGGCGGCGGCGCTGGCACTGCGCCCTACCAGTCCTGGTTGTCCCAGCCGTCGTCCACGGCGGCCGGCGGTGCCACCTCCTTGACGGCCCTGGCCCTGACCTCCGCCCCGGCCCCCCAGGCCTCCCCACCACCAATGTCACCGCCCCCGTTGCTGGACGCAGACGCGGCGCCCGAGCCCCACGCGTCCCAGCCATCCGAGCTCCTCTTGTCGGCTGAGGGGTCTGCACACGTCCAGCTGTTGCCGCTCGGGGACCTGTGGGCCCCAGCAGGGTCGGTGCTCCCGAAGGCCTCCCAGAAGTTCCGGTCGGTGGTGCTGTGGGAGCTGTCCCCGCCGCTGTTCTGACAGCTCCGGCCCTCCGGGGCTCTGGGACAGAGAGAGGCCTCTGAGCGGCTCCCGGAACCAGAAGGTCCAGAAGGTTGCCGTCGCGGCCCTGAGCCGCCTGGTCTCCCCCAGGCTCCTCCCCAGAGAACGGGGTTCAAGGCCGAGTCCAAACCCCCAGCCAGAGCCCCATCCCCAACCAGGGCGCTCAGCCAGTGCCACTCAGGGTCCCAGAGCCGCTGTTCTCGCTCTAGGGCAGAGGAAACCCAGCCTCAGGGCGGCTCCGCCACAGAGCTGAAGCCGTGGAACCTGTGGGAGGGACTCAGGCCTCCTGCCACCAGAGTCCACTCTCCACCAGTCCCACCCAAACGCAGGATGTTTTGAAGGAAAATGTAAAGCGCTGGTTTCCTGCAACGATTAAGGGGGAAAAAACCCCAGACCCTTCTCTGCACCGTGGAGTCCCTCAGTCCCTCAAACCACAGTCACACCACTGAGCACAGCGGACAGCACGCAGAGGGGGAAGCACTGAGGCCTCCCGTCCGCGAGCACGGGAAACACCCCAGGCCTCGGGCAGACGGACAGCACGCGCCACGGCCGGAGCGGCCACTGCTCCGGGCCTGGCCCGAGACCATCCATCCCCCCACCAGATCCCCAGGGTCCCACCTGGGGTCAGAGAAGAAGGCTGACCAGTCTGGGCTCGCAGCAGAAAGACCCGGGTGGGAGCCCTGAGTGCTCCGGAGTCCTAGGAGCGGGGTCAGGGCCCAGCCGCACCCTCTCTCCCTCAGCCTGTCCCACAGAGGCGAGGCTGAGACTCTCCCTCCCCAGCCCTGGATGGTGGCAGCTCCCACGAGGTCGAAGGCAGGGCTTCAGAGCGAGAGGTCAGGGGGCCGACGTGCCTCTCTGCACCCCAGGGCTCCAGGGGTTTCTGCACTGTGAGCCCTGAGCCCCTGGGGGAGACACACCTGCCTCCCAGAGACCCCAGGGGAAAATGCCACGGAAGGGGGCCCACTTCGGGAAGGGGGGCCAGTATACCTGTCCAACGGGTCCTCCGCTCTCCCAGAAAAAAAGGTGGTGACGTCCCTCCAGCCCCTGCTACCAACTCCCTGGACCTGGAAGGAGACGTAGGTGCTCAGCCTGGGCTCTGACGCCAAGTGCAGAGTTGAGACCTGGGTGAAGGTGAGGAACACGGCGACACCACGGGGCTCAGGCGGTTCGCCCCGGCGCTGGGGACGGTGGGATGCCCGCTGTGTGGACGCAGAGGCTGTGGCCCCAGGAGCTCAGCTGAGAAGCTCCTGGGTGGGAAGCAGGACAAACGCCAACCCGCCCCGCCTGCCCCCAGCTGCGCTAAGGCAGAGAAGGCGCCGCCCCCAGCGCACTCACCGGGGAAGGTCGGCAGCAGCAAGGCAAAAGGGCAGAAAGAAAAGAAGCAACAGGTCAGTGGCTATGACGGTGCCGCCAAGCCGTTTCCATATTCCTCAGGCTGTCGGCACCGGAGCGTCTACCTGACCCTCCTCACGTCCTACAGGCCCCTCGGGCCAAGAAGCCATACGGGGCATGAAGCGCCCGGCCCTTCCTGCTCGCGGTTCCGGGCTCCTTGGAATATGGAGACGCTTTCAGCCGAGCCCGCCTGTCAGGCGGGGCTTCCCTACCTTGGCCGCCAACTCAGAGAACCCACTGGACATATCATCAAAAATCTTTCCCTCCTTCACCTGGTGGATCGAAACAGTATCGTCATAGCCAAGGCAGATGCCCCGCTGCCCATTACTGACAAAGGACAACGCCCACCGACACCTGTCAGGGGACCTGTCTCCGCGCCGCGTCACCCCCTCCCTAGAAGAGAGGGCGAGGAGCAAGCCGACCACACCGCAGCCCGGGCCGGTCTCGTTCAGACCCTCCCCCGGTGGTCTCCCGAGCACAGGCTGGCGCTGGCCGCAAACCGCATGCCCCCCTCCCCCGGGAGCTTCTCTCGCCGCCTTGGCCTCCTCCGGGGTGAGGGGCCGGGCACACACACAGCCACGCGGGAGCAGAGTACAAGGCCAGGCCTTGCTGGGCTGGGGGACGAGAGCCATAGGCACAACGCACGCGTGAGGACACGGGGAGCAAGCATGGGAGTCTGAAGCCTGAACAGCGCCTCCCAGCACCAACTGCCCCCCGAATGAGGCCCACAGGAGACGCACGCAGCCGAGTACCAGAGTCCCCGTGTTACCTTCTCCTGGGCAGGTTTGAGGACACTCTCATTCAGACTGTGGCCCAACTCTGATGCCTGTTGGAAGGACAGATGCGATGAGAAAAAGCCGCGTATGTGGCAGCACGTTCACCCCAGGACTGCGAGCCCTGCCCATGGAGGGGAGGCTGCAGATGGCGAGCAGCCCGCCAGCACCCGATGCTCCACGCTGTTGCAGAGGCTGGAGACCGCTGCCCCTGGCCTACGCGCCCTGGGAAGGGGCTCGGACAGCAGCCAGCTCTTGGAAGCCCACCCCACCCGGTGGCCACCATCAGGCTCTCCCCGTCGGAGCCCACAGGATCCATCCCAGGAGAACAGCCCCTGGCATCCCCCCGACACAAACGGGTGGATCCCAAGCCCCACCTGCCCTCCAGGGGCCCTTCGGGAGTTCGGACAGAAGGGGATGGAGCCAGGGAGCGAGCCCAGGCCAGCAGCTCAGGTGGGGAGCAGGCAGGACAGAGGGGAGGCAACCACGGAGTGGGGCCCTCGCCACTGGCACAGGACTCCCCAGCACCGCTGCAGCAGCAGCCTCGGGTTCCGGATCCCGCGCCTCCTGCCTGAGACGCGGACGCCCGAGCACCGTGGACGGGCCACACGGGAGCCCGTCAGGCTGGGGAGCAGCTCTGAGCGTGAAGACAGGGAGCACTGACATGCAGCCGCGGCGCGGACACCTCGGAGCGGGACACGCGCCAGACACGCGGGGTGGGGGGGCGTGCATGAGCATGGACGCGGCCTTACCAGCTCTGGCTGCTGCTTGGAACCCCAGAACTTCACCCAGACAGCATGGGGAGATGGGGGGTGGGGGTGGGAGAGAGAGCAAGGCGGTGGGAGCGGTGTTCGGCAACAACCAGGACACGGTCCCGTGGGCGCCGCACACTCTCTAGACCTGGCACCTCCCACCCGGGAGCTTTCCAGCACGGCAGGAGCGAGCAATTAGGGAGTTGAGATGGGGGCTCAAAGAAATCATCCCTTGGGCCGTGAGGGGGCCCGCGTGGCCCCAGAGGCTCCTTGGACGGCCTGGCACCACGCCGGGACCGCCGGGGCTGCCAGCCAAGGTGTGAGAAAAAGACAAACACCAGGGCCCAAGATGCCGCCCACGAGAAGGGAGGGCGCTAACCAGGGACAGAGGCACGCTGCTGCCGCAGGATGCAGACCCCAGCCCCCTGGGGGGTGCTGGGCCTCCCGTGTGTGGTTGCCCAGACATGGCACAGAGCCTCCTTCCCCACGAGGCCAAGGGCACAGGGGCCTATGGCTGTCTGCCTGCCAGGGATGGGGCAGGATCTAAGCCTCCTCCACCTGCTAACCTGCAGGTGCCCAAAGTGACACATGGACACGTGAGCCTGGGAGGCAAATGCACGCACGGGCCTGTCAGTGCCCGAGTTGCCCGCGGAAGTGCCCTTCCCCTGAGCGCGGGGCACGAAGCAGGCGACCAGCCTAGAAACCTTGAGAGCACGAATGCAGAGGCTTCCTTTGTTACCTTTTGACTTGCCTGGGATCCAAACTTTGTCGCCTGAAAGGAAACACAGAGAGAGAGCTTTCTGGTCAGCCGCCTGACGCTGGCCACCAGGGCTGCACGTCCTTGGGGCCCAGACACCCGTGCTGGTCTCCTGACGGCTGCGAGGTACTGGTGCTCACCCCACAGCAGCTCTAAGGGGCCCCGCAAAGCTGCCCACCACACCTGCTTTCCCTGGAGGGAGGCTGTCAGGGGAGGGGCAGGCAGGATGAGGGAGCAGGGCTGACGCCGACCTCCCTGCTCTGGAATGCAGGGCGCACAGGCCGCCCACGGGCCCACAGGTGGGGCAGGTCCCTCTCCAGCGAGCTCTCCCCCTTGCTGCCGAGCGCGGTCTGGTCACACCTCTCACCTCTGCCCAGCACCCAGGCCGCGCTCATAATAAACAAAGAGGGAGAGGCCTGGATTCCCACTGCAGCCCGGCAAAGCCCTGGAGAGAATCAGCAGAGGCCACGTGGCAGAGCGCTGGTGCCCCAACGCCAGGCTCCTCCCCGGGCTCTGGCCCTCAGAAACTCCCGTCCTGGCCTCTCCAGGGCCCGTGTGCTCTGGGTCAGCCTGCCAGGAGGCCTCCCGTCC